AACCTATTGGAGGATGATTTTCCTGTTACGTTTATATAGATTTGCTGTAGTATTTTCTCTATTTGTTCAACTACGTTATTATTGTGGTTAGTTGAAGAGCTCTCAATCGACTGTGCCTATTTAGTGTGTATTGCTCGGGAGAAAGTGCATATTTAGGTAGTTGTTGAACAACATCACTCCTAACGTATATGAGGGATCAATACGAAACGTTTGAATGTGGGATTAGGGATAACGAAACCTTGGGTGCGATCTAAGTGAGCTGTACTTAAGGCTAGCTAGCGTAATTCAGGAGAATATGTCTAGTATATTGTTGTAGTTACTCGGGAGAAAGTTACGACAGTCAGAGTGCTCGTGATCGATAAAGAAGACTTAGGTAGATTTATAGCAAACGTAGCGGAAAGGATTCCGACAATAGGGAAAATCATAACTCTAGACCTCCTTAATCTTTTCTCCGACCCGTAGTATCTTTAGCTGTTAATCTACTATTTTAATTTGTTAGTTAAATGTTTATACACAAGAATCTTAATATCTATAAGATAAGAATTGTTCAAGCTTGTCTTCTTGGTGATATTGAACAGTTGTAGCTAAACCTTAGTTCTCTGTGGGATTCGACTCCGGACTTGTAAACCGGATTATATTTGCAACGACCGCTTAGTCCTTTTTATAAGGCATAGTTGGGCGTGATCATAGGTGCACTTTTATTCGAAAAATTGACTACAAAAAGACATTAGAAGCATCAAAGAAAACAAAGAATCTAAAAAACATATGGAAACACATGGAAAGCAACACAAAAATAACATATTCAGTAGACAGTATAAAGTACAGATAAATACAAAGGCAAACTTGAATTAAATAACTAGAATTGTCAAAAAATGGGACCCCATACCTAAAATTAAACCAACCAACCACCACAATACAAACCCTAAATTTAGACAAGAATAAACGAAATATACATGAAAACACTTGAAAAACAACACAAAAATGCAGATTCCAAAATCCTAAACCATATATTATTTACCAAAATAATAGAATACACTTACTTGAAGGAAGAGAAGAGTAGAAATCTTGAACTTTAAACGACTAAAGTCCATATTTGAGTCGGCCTTTTACCCTCTAAACTTGGCGACCATTTTGGCATGAAGTAGTAAGTTAGAGATTTTATGTGAAATGAAATATAATCGGGTGTTTTGTTTGGTTAAAACGCTTAATTAGGGAGTGGGTTAGTAATGGGGCGGGTTACGGGTGGGTTAGTCTATTATGATTGGTCTTTAAGTTCAGCCAATAAAGAGCTGACACGTGGATTATACATAATTTTTTTAAAATAAAAGGTCGTTAGAGATTGGGGTATGAATGTGTAGGTGTATTTTATGCAAAAAGGTTGAAGGAGGATATTATTGTACTAAATCTGATACTTCTGGGGTAGTTTTAGGGTGTGTTTGGTATGAAGGAAAATATTTTTCAATTTTTCCATATTTGGTTAGCTTAAACATTTTGGAAAACATTTTCTCATGAACTTATTCTGCACCAATTGGAGGAATATTTTCCCTATCAAGAAAATGGAAAATATTTTCTAAAACCCCTTTTAAATCTTCCCCACCCTATTTCTCTTCCCCACTAACCCACCCCACCCCACCCCGAACCCATCCCACCACCCATCCACCCCACCCACCCCTACCCCAACCCCTACCCTAAATAGAAATATTATTAGTGATGCTTTCTTTTTTGTTATAGATATAGTACTTTTTTATTTCAATTCAACAAATGAGTATTTTTCTTTTCATGATTAAAAGTATTTTTTTCATTTTAACAAAAAAAAAAACTTTCTTTCATGATGTAAAAAAAAAGTATTTCTTTCATTTCAACAAAGTGATGTAGTAAAAAGTATCATCTTTTCATGATATAGAAAAAAATTATTTTCTTTCATTTCAACAAAATAAGTACTTTATTTTCAAGTACTTTCTTTTTTAACCAAAAAAGAGTACTTTCTTTTTAATTATGGAGCATAAATTTAAATGTTATTTTTGCGTAAAAAAGTAATGCAACACATTAGTTACTTTGTGTTGTGTGAATTTTTAGAAAAATAATTTAATTCTTGAAGAAATGTTGGGTATTTTGAGGGGGGAGCGGAGGAGAGCACATGAAACATGTGGACTTGGGGAAGGGGGTGAGTGAGGAGAGTAGCATAAAAAATATTTTCTACTTCTAACCAAATACTAAAAAATATTTTTCAAATTTTTTTTTTCTACTCACCAACCAAATAAGGGAAAATAAGTCATAAAATCACTCATTTTACATGAAAACATTTTCTAGAAAAACATTTACAATGAAAAATATTACATTTTCCATGGAAAACATTTTCCTTCATAAATCATACCCTTAGGGATCGTTTGTAATGCAGACTAAATAATCACGGGATTATAATCTCAAGTTTAATCTATACCATATGGGAGGTGGGATAAAATAATGGAATTTTTACATTCCTATGCCATATAGGAAACTATATTACTCTCAATGTTTAAGGTTTGATATCATTACATTTAATATACCTAATTACCAATTCTATACTATAAGGTGTTTTAACTGTACATTAATTGTACCTTATATCACTCCTAAATTTATGGTACCGTATATTTCTCCAAATCCTCATCCCCCCACGTTTCTCTCTCCCAACCCCACACCCTCACCCACGTATCACCACACACCTAGAAACCAGAAAAATCAAAAAAACAATTGAAACCCTCTGCTAAATCCAGAAAAACAATTAAAACCCTCTACTATTAACGTTCAAAATCAAGGTTTTTTTCTTCTGCAACCAGTCAAAATTGAAGTCAAATCTTCAAAGTTTCATACACAGCAATAACTTTTGATGATTATGATTTCGGGTTCCTTCAGTAATATAAGAGGAAAGGAAAAGAGAGCAGCAATTCCACCATTTACAGCCATTAAAAAGCTTTGAAGCTTTGAATTCAAATTTGGATTTTCAAAAATTATTATTTGTTTGGATTGGGTGTTGTTGTAAATAATTGGGAATATGATTTGGAGTTTATATTTCAATTTTGAGGGGTTTTGGTGAAGATTAGACTTGGTTTTGGCTGAATTTCAGATTGAAATTCGAAGAAGAAGAAGAAGACATTACATACATTATATTGCAGAAATTGTAGAAAAATTGTAGATTGTTGTTTATTTATTTTTGAGCTTTGTGTTTTTGTGTTAAAAGTTTTGATGGGAGTTTGTTATTCCACTTCGTCTGTTTTGGAGCTAACTTGTGCAGAGGAGAAGATGTTTTTTAAGTTATATATATTGCTATACCTTTAAATTCAAGAAAGTATGGTTGTATTGTATTTAAAGAGGCGTGAATTTGTATAATAGGTTGAATGCGAGGAATGAGTCAAATAGGACTCACAATGGCTTGTTTTCTACATTTAATCTACAACAAAACTACATATCATTTGAAATATTAATATGAAAATACAGAATTTCAATGTTTCTACAAATTATCTACAAAATATCTACAAACTGGGTACATTGAATTTTAATACCCCAATTCCCATTCAATTGTAGCATAATTGGGATTTTCAACATAATTGCGTTTTTTCCGGAAGATTTGTAGAAATTTTAGCCGTTTTTGATTTGTGAAAACAGAAAACAAAGCATCTACAATCAGAATACAAATAATCTACAATTTATCTACAAAATATCTATAAAATGGGTACATTGAATTTTAATATCCCAATTCCCATTCAATTGTAGCATAATTGGGATTTTTGACATAATTGTATTTTTTCAGAAGATTTGTAGAAGTTTTGGTCGTTTTTTATTTGTGAAAACAGAAAAATAAAGCACCTACAATCAGAATACAAATAATCTACAATTTATCTACAAAATATCTACAAACTGGGTACATATTTGGACTCAACATGCTTCCCTTGAAATGTATGTTTCACATTTTTTATACATATTTTTGTCCAAAACAGTACTAAATCATCCACTTAAATACAATTTTTATACAATGTTGTTCAACTTTCATACAATAAGTAAATGAATAAAAGAAAAATAAATAAACAACAGTCTACAATTTTTCTTCAATTTATCTACAATTTATCTACAATTTCTGCAATATACGTCTTCTTCTTCTTCTTCTTCTTCTTCTTCTTCTTCTTCTTCTTCTTCTTCTTCGAGTTTCAATCTGAAATTCAGTCAAAACCAAGTTTAATCTTCACCAAAACCCCTCAAAATTGAGATATAAACTCCAAACCATATTCCCAATTATTTTCAACAACACCCAATCCAAACAAATAATGATTTTTGAAAACCCAAATTTGAATTCAAAGCTTTCAAGCTTTTTAATAGCTGTCAATGGTGGAATTGCTGCTCTCTTTTCCTTTGCTTTGTATTACTGAAGTTTGGACATAATTGTGTTTGATGTAGAAGAACTGTAGAAGATTTAGTCGTTTTTGATTTGTGAATTATAGAAGAATAATCAATACGTTTTTGAATTATAGAAGAATAATCAATTCGTTTTTGAATTGTAGAAGAATAATTGCGTTTGATGTAGAGAAGCTAAATTTGAAACGAAACTGACGAAGAAGATTAATGTGCGTGATTTGCGTTTGGAAGATCTGGAAGAATATTTAATCCCCCCAATTTTAGCCCCTAAATAAGGAAGCCTACAACTACAATGATTCTTTATTTAATGCATGGTCTATATTTTGTAAAAACACTATTAGCATGAATGATAATATGCAAACTATGAACATATTTGGTAATATAGTTTCATATATTGTACATATACGAAAGTTTTCCCCCTATTTAATTGGCAGTATAAATTTATTGCATGATAAATTTATACCGCCAACCAAACACGGTACAAATTTAATCCCACACCTTATCCCACCTTATCCTCATACCAAACGACCCCTTGGACCTTTTCCGAAAAATTAATTCTATTTGTCTGTCATAGAAGCTTAATCAACGGTCTGTGACGGATAACACTCCCTTTTACTCCACACAAGCAATCTTTCTAAAGGTTCCACCTTTTTCAATTCCGATAGAAAATCAAATTACTCAGATCATTATTACAAACTTCAAAGTCAATATTCATCAATCAATTCATCACTCCTCAACACAACTTCAAAATTTTCCCAGGTCAGTCAAGTAAATATTACTCTCAATGCACCCAAAAAAACAGATAATAATGTTGATTGAGGAAAAATGTAGAATTTTTTCATAAGAATTCAAGATTCGTAATACCCTTTTTGTAAATTGATTGTTTCAGCTAATGGGTGTGAATTTTTCGTTTTTTTTTTGTTGTTGCAGGAATTGTAGAATTTTGATTATTTTTTGAATTTTTTTTGGAAACCCCAATTGATTTGGATTGAGGGGTAGTTAATTAATTGATTGGTTAATTGATCTTTGAAGATTTTACTGCTAACAATTCCTGTGGATAAGCGAAAATGTTTACGAGAATCTTTGGAAAACCAAAACAAGAAACAAATGCTCTAGCAACTTTAGACAAGTTAAATGAGGTATGATCCTGAATCCTGATTGGCTGCTTTCATGGAATTTGCTTCTATTTTTCTTTTTTCTACTTGTTTGGACACAACAAATATTTACTGGTATTTAGAAAAAGTAGACCTGAATAGAATGCAATGAATATAATTTTATGAATATAGAGGATTTATATTGCTGATCCCAACTAGTTTGGAATTGAGGTCAGTTTGATAGTTGACTTTTCCTTTTGAGACAAGTAATACATGTTGGGAGGTATCATAGATGATCAATGTAAACATCCGACTATCCGAGTTTGGGATCGAAGCGTGGTTTATAAACATATATTTGTTCGGGTAAATTCATGGTTGGGAAGCATCATATGGACTTTAAAAAAAAGGGCTGCCCGGTGCACTAAGCTCCCATTATGCGCGAGGTCCGGGGAAGGGCCGGACCACGAGGATCTATTGTACGCAGCCTTACCGTACATTTCTGCAAGAGGCTGTTTCCACTGCTCAAACTCGTGACCTCCTGGTCACAAATGGACTTTAGGGGAACAAAATTACGGTTTCTTTGTCCATTACTAAGCCTAAAGTGTGCGCTGTCTCTAACAACATAAACTTTTAGATGAAATAGCCATACACTTCAACACTTCAACACTGTATTAGAGCAGACAAGAGGTTGTGGTTTCAAATCTCACCATTGCCCAAAAAACAAAAAATAGTTACACTTGTTTGGCTAAGGGGAAAAAAGAATGTGGCTAACTCATGAGGGGGCACATAGAGACATAATATAATTAAGTAATTAAAAGTGTGCTCTTTCTAATAGTTTAAGCTTTTAGATGAGTTGGTCATACCAATTCAATAATTACGCATTTATGTTATGTTGCAAACGAAAAGCTGTGGCTTTGTGGAATGCTTTTATCCATTAGTTGTACTGCCTAATAAATCAGATAGCACTCTACTGAGTAAAAACCAAAAGAATTGAGTGAATTAAGTTTGCATCAGTGTCTTGGTCCTTTAGTGTAATCCACTGATGAAAAGTGCTATGTTTGTGCTTTGTAAAAGAGAGTGTCAGCCCTCCATTTGTCCAATGGGCTAGAGAGAGATAACTACATATGAAGTAAAATACCCTTTATGCTTAGGTTCAAGCTTATGCAAATTGAGTTTTCCCTTTTCGTTGGGGATGAAGCGAAGAGGGTGTGGTATACATCCTTCTTTAGGAAATGTTATCTTGGACTATGAAACTGGAAATACATGTTCCTTCTAAAGTTTATGCACAGCGATTGTCATATCTTCAGTATTTGAAGCAAATATGAAGGAAATTTGCCTATAAGGTTTTGCAAGTGGCTACTGTTTTGCCACACGAATAACTAATAGACATAATTTGTGCCAAGGGGCTTCTCTTTCCTGAACAACTAGGAATGAAGATAAAAAAATTCATGCATTTCATTTAATCTAACTGTGAAGAATTTTGTCCATTCTTTTACTTAGAGTGCCTCTGAGTAATGGGTGCTTTGTCTTTTATAATTTTCACATTTTAAATTCATACTAGTCTTTTTCTGCACAAGTATATCCCATGATAAGTATTAGTATATATAGATCTAGAAAAATAAGAAATTATGTATCCTGTAAAGAGATTTACTGCTTTCATTATGTCACCGTACAAGGAAATAATGGAGTTCTTTTACTAATTATAAAGTTAATGCGTTCCTAAATCACCATACAATGAAATAATGAAGTTCTTTAATTAATTAAAAAAATCAAACAGTGAATTAATGGAAACTATGAAGGGTAACAAAGTAGATCAACATTTCGTGGTGGAGCTTTGTGCTTTTATAATACAGTAGATTTAGTTCGTGGTCTACCCAATAGACAGGGCTGTAGCAGTCACATAGTTGTTTCACTTCCCAAAGTTGTAGAACATGAACTTTCCAGTCTTCTTTCTCCTGGAAAATCAAACATGGAACTCATCATACATAAGGATGACAAAGTAGACATTGAGTTGGAAGCTGTGGGTTACTATCTTAATGCATAATGAGTTTAATATTTATGTGGTTCTTGTGCAATAAAATATTGTCGGTGATATTTGTGCATGTTATTCATCTACATACAAATTGAAGCCCGTTTTAGTGAGTATCAACTAAGACACATCTGGCTTATGGCTAACGATTTGATCTAGCATAAAGAAGGGCAAGTTACAGCAGAAGATGCTTGTATTCTCCTTGTTTACGTTGCTTTAAGTGAAGACATTGAACACTTTCTTCTATCCCCAAGTTGGCCAATTAACAAATGCTTTTCCAGACGCATTATGTCATACTTGTGCTAAGTCTTTCCAAAGATCTTCACTTATTCATTTTTTGCGTCTGCTAAAGTAGTTAGTTGTGTTTTGATTTTTCAAGTAAATGTAAAAAGCTTGAATTTGAGTTTTGGTTATGATGTCAGACGCTTGAGATGCTTGAGAAAAAGGAAAAAGTTTTATTGAAAAAGGCTGCTGGTGAGGTTGAAAAAGCAAAGGAATTTACTAGAGCAAAAAACAAAAGAGGTATGATTTCTTGAAAATCATTTATCAGAAGGGGCTTCTTCATATGTAGTTCTCTCGCTCTGGTTACATTTATTTATGTTTTTCTATTAAGTCTCTTGGCTTTTCTCCATTTATTATTCTCATGCACTTAAGAATGGGACTTGCTACCAGTGTTGTCAAAAGCGCGCTTAAGCCCTGAAGCAAGGCTCAAAACATGTTGAGCGCTTCGCCGGCGCTTTAGGGTCGCATCAAGGCTCTAAGGCATACTTTTCCTTGCCAATGAGTGTAATCCTGAAAAAGCGACATTAAACAATTGATATTTCACTTTATCGTAAATTTTTTGCAATTTCTTTGTCCATATATTTGTTATTCATGCGTATAAAATTATTAGTCTTGGACTACATATACATATTTTTTACTTTTTCTCCAGTTGCGCCTTTTTTCATTAAAGCCCAAAGCTTTATTTTAAACCCCCAACGGACCTTAGAGCTTTTTTGCGCTTTTCGCCTTTGATAACACTGCTTGCTACCCAAAGAATCTTTTCTTACTTGTAAGGATGAACTGTTGTTTAGAATAAATCTGTAATCTCGGGAATTATGTAATGTTCGACTGGTTTTTTTAACTTAATATTTTGTGTTAGATGAGGTAGGTTTTCTGTGTACTAGCCAGAACATCAATTTATCAGTGCTGAAGAGATCATTAGATAGTTTTTATTTGGTACTTCCATTACAATTTACTGCAGGAAAGGGAAAAATTAAAAATAACAAAACAGGGCCAAATGTTGCTATATTAGTTAAACCTAGAAGTCACGGCTGGGAACTGTTATTACATAATTACTTTTCTCATCGAGCTTCTCCTGTTCACATGATTTCTTCTTTGGCGGAGGTGGCTTGAATTATCTTTTTGACTTTTTTTATGTGTTAATGCAACAAGTAGTAGTATCTCGATATGTTTCTGCTATTACAGTTATCATAACATTGTTTTTATTACAATAAATTTCATATAAGAAATATATATGTTAAAATGTTCCTCTTAACATTTTCACCGTGGATGAATATCCTATGCGGAGTACAGTTCCAATATTCAGATGGAAATTTGAGTTTCAGCTGAAAACATAAGTGAATTTATTATCAGTTTTGTGTCTTTATTCCTGGTTAACTTTTGTCTGTTATTTGGCATTTTTCTCCAAGATGCCATAGAAGCGGAGAGATTCTTGCTTTTGGGATAGTCTTTAAGCCTTGGCTGATCTGGTTAAATCGCGAAACCTGTCCTGTTTTTGATATGCAAAATGATTTTCCCATGTAAAGACCAATAAAAAAAGGTTTTTAGCTTCTACTAAGAATGATAGAGGAAATTAATGTTGATAGAGTATGCTGTTATCTTTCTGGCTCACACATATATATTCCTCAATACTTATGGTACTTTGAGAACATATTAAGTGAATATGATGATGATGTCTTTGTGTTCCCGTTTATATATTTTTTGACTCATTATATGCCTTTATGCCGTCTTTTCTTCTTTTCGGCAACATTATTGGTGAATTTTTTGTTCTATTTTCAGCTGCAATACAATGTTTGAAAAGGAAAAGGCTCTATGAACAGCAAGTCGAACAGCTTGGAAATTTCCAATTGCGTATTCATGATCAGGTGCTCTTAATGTTTTCTTAGATCTGACAATCTTTGCACGCATTTTGTATTATTACATCACAATAGGCATAGGCTGAATTTATTTGGTTGGATTTGGGTTTCAGATGATACTGTTAGAAGGTGCAAAAGCCACAACAGAAACCGTTGATGCTTTGAGAACTGGAGCAGCTGCAATGAAAGCCATGCAGAAGGCGACGTAAGTTGTATATGACTATGTTGCTGCCGTAGCTTTAACTCTGTTTTGCATAGTTACGCAACTTTTGCATGGAAAGACTTCTTTCCTAAACACAAAATGTTCAAATTATATATAAAACGTCTCCAGTACACACATTGCTGGATACCATGTTAAAGCATCAAATTTCCTTGTAGTCTTCTTTGTGCATTAAATTTGAAAGATGTATTCTGTCACAATTGAGTCGGTAGAGAGGCTTGAACCATAATCTTAACTGGATGGATGACATTTTAATCGATGGCTTAAATTCTATTAAAGCTTTCTACACAAAAGCATGAGTACGGTTTTGGGATCACTCGCATCTACGCAGTGTTGTTCTTTGTGTCATCCAGAGTCTTTGTTGTATCAAGGTCAAAGTCAAATATACACTGGAAATTAAGTTCTTGTTTTTCTCATGGTTGGGTATATTTTGTTAAATGGGGTTTTTCTTGCCTGATACTGTCTAATTTTCCTGTTCAGGAATATTGATGATGTTGATAAAACAATGGATGAAATCAACGAGCAGACTGAGAATATGAAAATGATTCAGGAAGCATTATCTACGCCAATTGGTGCAGCTGCTGATTTTGATGAAGTATCTACTTACGCAATTCTTTTTATTTTTTATTATTTATATGATACTCCTTTCTGTTTTTGGACAATAATTTATATTACTCTTTTGCAGGATGAGTTGGAGGCAGAACTTGAAGAACTAGAAGGAGCTGAGTTGGAGGAACAACTCCTTCAGCCTGCAACAACTGCCCCTTCTGCACCTATTCATCTGCCTACTGGTAGGCAACAAGTGCGTCCTGCCGCCCAGCAGAACAAAGCAGAAGAAGATGAACTTGCTGCTTTGCAGGCTGAAATGGCTCTTTGAAGAGGTCATTTTCTGTTCTCCTCTTTCTTATGATTACAGCTAAGCTAAGTATTTGAGACTGGGAAATCATCATCTTACTGTTTGACATATGTGCTGATTTAGGTGCTAATATTGATCTACTTGTAGAGATGGCAAACGGTGCGGTTGCGGGGCAAACCCGCATAAACCCGCAAAGATTTAAACCCGCCCCGCCCCACATAGCATTCGCACCCGCATACACCTGCCCCACACTCACACCCGCCCCGCCCCGCATTTTTTTTTCTTTCATTTTTTAGTTTTATTTCTTTTGAGCTTTTGGTTGGACTTTCTGATTTAATCAAGCAAAAAATTGAAATCTCTTTTGTTGCTCTTAAGCTACTGTGCCCTTCAAAAAAATTATTGAGCCAAAACTTAATAAAATGACAACAAAGTATTTAATCAATCAAAAGTTCTAAACAGAAAATGACAACAAATTATTGAATAGGACATGTGATTTAATACTAGTAATAGCTTTCTTGCTTTTGAACTCTTAAGCTATTGTACCCTTTTAAAAAAATATTTAACATATAAAACATTTTCATTTTTATTTAGTTATATTTTTTATTGTTCCATGGAGGGGAGCCTTGGCGTAACTGGTAAAGTTGCTGCCATGTGACCAGGTGGTCACGGGTTCGAGCCGTGGAAACAGCCTCTTGCAGAAATACAGGGTAAGTCTGCGTACGATAGACTTTTGTGGTCCGGCCCTTCCCCGGATCCCGCGCATAGTGGGAGCTTAGTGCACCGGACTACCCCTTTTTATGTTTTACTGTTCCAATTTTAATACTATAAATCTATTTAGTAAGATAAATATTTTTTTATTTAAGATTTGCACCACATTAGTGTTTTAAGTGTTTTATTAGAAAAAGATAGGAATCACACAATTATATTCGTGAAGAATTTCCATGATATAGATGGTGTATTTGATTTTTTAAAACAAAGAATTTCCATGAAGTTAGCAACATCTTGCCCATCCCAGATTAGTTTTCAACCATTTTGATAGTTCAAAATTCAAACTGATAATAAATATAGACCACCTATTTGTGTTTTGCCTTTTTCCAACATCATACCTCATTTTCCAACGACATTGAAGGTGCAAGTGCAATTAAGCAGTACATTAAGTCACTAATATGTTTCATTACACCATTTAGTGACCGTGGTTAGTTTTCAGACTGAATGTAACTTTTTTTTAAAAAAAGACCCGCACCCGCCCCGCAACCCGCAAAGATTTTTTCTTAAAAAAATAAACCCGCCCCGCCCCGCGCCCGCACCAGCGAAGCCCAAACCCGCACTGCCCCGCATAGGTTGAAACCCGCCCCGCCCCGCCCCATTGCCATCCCTATCTACTTGTAGGAAAACTGATTAGGGTACTGTTTTCATCAGCCAATTATAAATTAATACTTCAGTGTTTCTCCAAAGTACTTCTAGTTTTTGCTCAACTGTTTGAGTCTTGGTCTTCTTTTGTGGGTTTTGCAAAAACAGCCTTCTTGGCCCAGAGGGGCATAAGTGGGTGGTGTAATATGCTTTATTAACTACTTCCTCCATCCCAATTTATGTGGCGGTGTTTGACTAGGCACAAAATTTAAGAAAGAATGAAAGACTTTTGAAATTTTGATGTAAAATAAGCCATAGAAATTTGTGTGGCCGTAAATCATCTCATTAAGGGTAAAATGAGAAGTTTAAAGTTAAATTGTTTCTAAATAAGGAAGTATGACATTCTTTTTAGGACTAACTAAAAGGAAAGAGTGTTCACACAAATTGGGACGGAGGGAGTAGCTTTTAGCTTCAACTCCTGCACTTCCATTAGTTATCAGCTCAATTTAATGTTGCTCATAGATTTTGCAATTGTTTGATGGAAAGAACGTTCCACATAAAACCTAGCATTATATGAAGCTGTTGTTATACAAACATATTTACAAGTTGTAGGTTAAGCAAGATTAAAATGAAACTGTCGATTTCACGTCCCCCACTTTCACCTGTTTTCTCGCTGAAGTTAATCTACTTCTGCCTAGACTAGATGTGGAATGAGTGTGGTGGAAGCCATCATATACCTCCATTTTGCTTGTTTTCTTTGCGAACCTGCTTCCTTTTCCGAATTCATTGTTTCTTCAATCATTCTGCTTCCTTTTCCAACTCTTGAAAACCAACTCAAGACTTACTTTCCCTCACTTCCTCCTCAACCCATGGAAATCCCTACTAAAGGTTGGGAAAAAGAAGGTACCTTGACTACTTATCGAAAAAAAGAAGGTACCTTGACTACAACCTTAAGAGTTTGGAGAATATAGACTAGAAAGAACTGATTGTGAAGTCTCCTCGTAAACACTAAACAGTCATCCAACATTCCCCGTCGCCTTTCTCACTACTCTTTCAAGATGCCAATCGAATATAGAACTCATCTTCTTCACGGACATTTATTGAGTAGCAACAAAGATGTAAATTCTTTGAATCAATGCAGACTTAGCTAAAGACATGACACAATGAAAGAGAAAGATCAATATAGGTGATATTTACTAGTTCGGAATAGGTTCAAGTCTTGTTAGAGAACTTCTAATATTATTATTAATTACTATTATTTATATATGATGATAACATGAGTTGAGCTTAAATCGAGAAGTGAGGATTCATATAGCAGACCTCCAACTTGTTTGGGGCTGAGGCGTAGCTATTGTTGTTTAATTGTATTCATGATGCAGCTGAAATCTTGTATTTTCAATGACACGTACTTGTCCGGTAGTCTTTGAAAGTTCCTGACTGTTTCATTTGGTGTTTTGCAGTTATAATCGCCAAATAAGGAATGCTGTAAAGATTGAATGTACTCTTGTGATGGATGATTGTTTGAATTTTTGATGTGCATGCTGCCTTACAAGTAACTGTATAGATTACAGGAGTTGATTTAAATTTTTATGTCAAGTTGAAATGGGAAGAGTGTGCTATTTTTATATGAAATTTTTATTCTTGAAATTGTACAAAAATTGTCTCTTCTAGCAAACATTAAAGTACACCTTTTGTTCTCCAACTTGATGTTGTGAGTACCTGTCATTCTTCAGCAATCTGGTCAATCATATCTATCACTTTACTTATCAACCAAACCCTATAATATAATCTGAATTTTACCACATAAAAGGTTGTTTTGATATTAATTATTTTGCTCATAACCTAGCGCAGTTCTCAATTTCTTTAGTACATGGTTTTTCTTGGGAAAGAATATTCCCAAGCTGGGTTGTAAATGAAGTTGTACGCTCCTTTGGACATATCTCGTCCTTAATGCATTAATAGATGAATTGTTTTTGATGAAAAAAAAAAAACGCATATAACATTCTCGCTGATTTCACTTACGATTTCTGTCTATGCTAGGATTTGGACTCTGATCCCTCATGGTTTTCATTTCATCGTTGATCGCTATGTCACGCAAATGTCCGAATCAGTTGGCTCGCACCTCGGCTATTTCACTTAGCGGATTTCTATTTATGCTAGCATTCGGACCCTGGTCCCAAATGGTTTTCATTTCAATTCATCGGCCACTATGTCATACCCTTTAGTGCCCATGTTAGCTTGTTCTTTGGTGCAGTAAAATCTTCTTTAGTGATGGTTAATCTATTGCATATAACTAGAGGTGGCAAAATGGTTAAAAGAAAACAGTTATCCACCCATATTATTCATCAAAAAATGAGTTGGATAATGAACCATTTAAAAACGGATCGAATATGGATAAGAACCATATTATCCACTTAGAAAATGGTTAACCAAATGGATAAGGGAGAAATTCAAAAATAGCCAGATTTACAAGTGGTCGTTCAAGCCCAGTTTCAAAAGTAATCGAAATCTAGCCACTTTTCATGTAAAGATAAATTTGAGCGAAAACACTGTTCAAAACCCGAAAAATACGCCAGTATATTATGCTGGAGTTCCAGCATACTTGAACTCCATCATATTATACTGGAGTTCCAGGATAAGTATGCTAGAACTCCAGCATAATATGATGGAGTTCCAGCATAAGTACACTAGAACTCCAGCATAATATACTGGAGTTCCAGCAAAGTATACCGGTCCAATATAATATGCTGGAAGTTCATACACAAGTGCTCGAATCTCCAGTATATTATGCTGGAACTTTCTGTGTGTTGAAGTTCCAGGATAATATGCTGGAAGTTCATACACAGGTGCACCGAACTCCAGTATATTATACTGGACTGGTCTCTGTTGCAACAAAATAGTGGCTATTTTTCATTGACTTGGTAAACGCTGGCTATTTTTGAATGACCAGTCCGAAAACTGGCTAGACCGTGCTATTTTTACAATGGGTCACCAATGGATAACTAATGTGTTTAACTTTTATATTTGTAAAGTCTCAAATTGTGGTTCCTCAAGTTTGGAAGACTAGGAATTCTCCCATAAGTCATCATATTCAAGAAGCCATAGATAATATGGATATCCATATTATCCGTCGGATAACCTGTTTTTTATCCGTCTCAAATACGGATCGTGTAGGATAATTTATCCATTTATTGAATTATTTATTTTTGATCCGCTCATATCCGATCCGACCCGCCAATTTACCACCCCTATATATAACGAATAATACTTGTTATGACATTGCACATGTTGTGGTTGATTGGGTAGATAATCAAAAACATTGTGGTGCACTAATGAGAATAATAGGATTGGGATGGTCAAATCAAAGCAAATGAGGAGCAAGTTGGTAAACATAGCTTTTTAAAATTTGAATAGAAAAAATTGATTCTTTGGAAAATAATGATTGAAGTTTAATTTTGTAATACATTATATTTGTAATTTTACTCATATAATTTTTTTCACAGGAGATCAATAAAAAAAATTTGAAAAATTTATAAAATTACATAGGAGTATTATAGTACAGGTGGAGCGGCAAGTACCCCTTAATTCCTAGGACCTGTTTGGTCATAGATTTTTTTTTTTTAGACATGTTTGTTCTAAATTTTATCCATATTTTGGCAAATTTTCAAAATCCAAAACCCAAAACCATCTCAAGAGCTGGTTTTGGCCGAAAATATTACTATTGCAGTTTTAAAAAATTGCCCCAAACTTTTGTATTTTATAAAAGAGCCCACCATTTATTATTTGTAACAATGCTGCTTTGTCCTCTCGGTCATCTGATAGTTAGTTCATTATAAAAATAATAATTTTGTTCCAAATTTATTTATGTTCAAGATTATGGTTTGCGATAATATAATGAATGTTATTGATGAAAGTACTGTTGGGTATTTGTGATATTTTTTAGAACTTGTGAATATTAGTCATGTCCAAATCAAAATTTTCAAAACAAATATAAAAATCTATGGCCAAACGCTACCTTAATCTGTGGTCTGAAATTCGAATCTTTGGCTCAAATTGAAGCTTTCTGACAGGAATTTAGATTTTTCAATACAGACGAAAATATATAAAAAAAAAAAAAATCCGATGATTGAATGGAATAATTGACTTGAGTCAGAGTCAGAATTTATTACGAATGATGTTCTTAGCTGTCCGAATCTATACTATTTATTCTGCACCAAACACTGAAAATCAGACAGCAAAAAAAGAAAAGGACCATACCCATTACATTAAAGAAAACAATAGTCACAGTATCCAAGCTTAATATCAACGCAACTTCTACAAAAACACATCAATTTATCAACCCCATTTCTATTTCACAAATCTTGAACCAAAAGAACAAAGTTTTTGTGTGAAATAGTAGCAATTAGCAGCAGGAAATTTAAAGATGTCGTGGCAAACATATGTTGATGATCATTTGATGTGTGAGATTGAAGGTAATTACCTTACTTCTGCTGCTATTATCGGTCAAGACGGCACCGTTTGGGCACAATCCAACAATTTCCCTCAGGTTTTTTTTCTATACCAACATCTAATTTTGGTTTAATTTTACTTTGGTTCACTTGTTTTAGAATTTTAAGTCAATAATTAGTACTTCGAATAGTCCCAATTATGTGATATATTTTTAGTGTCTCAAAAAACTTGATACATATTTAGAAATAATTCGAACTTTAAAATGACATATTTATAGCCACAGATAAAATCTTTTTTTATAACCATAGTGTCTGGCTATGTTGCTCGTGCTTTCCAAAAATGTGGCAGGATACGTGTCGGATCCTCCAAAAGTAGTGCATTTTGAAGGATCCGACACGGGTGCGGCTTCATTTTGGAGAGTCCGCGCAACATAGGTGTCTGACCACCTCGGCTAATTCCACGAGCTGCATACTACCTCCCACCAACATAGTTTCATTAAGTACCGGATAACTTTATCTACCAAAGCTTGGACAAATGGAAAAAAAATACCTTAATTTTTGTCACCTCGGAATTTAAGCTTGAGATCGCATGGTTCTCAATCTACTTCATGGACCACTAAGCTACACCCTTGATTGCATAGACCACACAAATAGTTATGTCTTGTTTTAGATCACAAGTTAGAAAAATTATTTTTTCTTTCTTATACTCCGTGTTATGTCAAACAACATCACATTGATAACGCCCGTGCTTAGTCAACCAAACGTTACATAAATTAGGACGGAGGGAGTACTTTTGTTTTAGATAATTGGGAAACTTAGTGCTAATATGAATATCGTAGAATTTATTTCGTTATGTATAGAACTCGAGCAAAAGGTTGTGGGTGACTGGGAGTATCAGCATCCACTATTAACAGTTTCTAAAGCAAGTATAGATTTTATTTTGAATTGTCTTTAAGCTTTAACAGTTGTTATCTTACTTTTTAGCTAGTTGATATGTGGTGCAACTCATGTTGAGCAATTTTGTACTGTTTCTAATTGTTTATGAGTGCTAGGTTCTAATTTTAGAGACTTGTGTGTCCATGTATAAGTGTGTGATTTAGAGAACCTCTACCACAGCCTTATGCCTATGGTGAAACCCACCTCATCTTGTTCTTGCCCCAATGACTTGGGGGCTTAGCTTCAATTGTGCAGCTCGTTTCATGTCTAGGATTCAACCTTGACTAGTTAGCATATTCTTGACGCGCATCTAGTAACGTGCACAGGCGGAGATGACTAAGGACATGCTCGTCCATCACATGGCACTGAGCTTCGCTCGTGCACGCAGAGTCCAATTTTCAAGCTTGACACTAGCCTTGTGTCTGTCATGGCGTATGCGACTAATGCTTTGCCGGATTAGAGAAATTGTTTAAGTCTTGGCTGGTGTATAGTTGCATCCATATAATGCCTTCAAGTATCTAATAGCATTGCCAAACATTGTCCTCGTAACAAAGATATTATCTAGCATAGTGCAACGTGCACATTTAGGGCAACAGACTCTTGCTTGTAAAACCAAATGGCCCAAATCTAAGCCATGGTCACAAGTCAACACTCGAGACTCTTGGAGTGGTGTCTCGAGTGCTCAATCGCCACAGAGGTGCTTACTGTTTGACATTCCCAAAAAATAGCTCGCAGGGCAAAGCCATTGCTATGTCAAGCCTCCAGCACTTTTTTGCACCCAATGTTAGCCACTGAGGCTATGAACTACCCATAAATTTCTTTTACTCACTAGAGGCTGCTCGCTTGTGCAGTTTACTGTGCACGGGAAGGCTGGTAAAAGTTCCACATTGATCCCTGCAATGACTTGTAGAAGTTGATATCTCCCTCTATGACTTACATTTATACAGAACTAGTCTCCTGCAACTGTTGGGCAATATAATAGGAAAACTACTGATTGAGCATGAGTTGGGTTGTATCCTCTTGAAGAGAAAGTCCTGATAATTATTATTTCTCAGGTTTGTAATTTTGTACTTGTGTTTGAATTGCATGCTAAAAAATGTAGTTTTTAATGGTGAATTTCATGGTTTGGATGTATAGAATAAACATCCCCCCCCCTCCCCCCCCCCCCCCCCCCCCTTTTTTTTTATTTTCATGTTGATATTAATATTAAAAAAAATTCATTTTCTAAACTTCCCAACACCATTCCTGTGGGCAAAGGCTTGTTGGGCGCGAGATAGAGTTGCACTGACAAGCATTGGTGAGCTTGTCATTAATTGTGTTCTT